GAAAATGTTTACTGAAAACAAGGTGAATTCAACCATAATAAATGGTATAAATAGAACAGGATGTAAAATAATGTATATATAAATATCGAGTGAATAGTATTAACGTATCTTTAGATAATAAAATGACAATAAATAATTAAATTTAGCAACTAAAACGACAATATAAAAACTTAATTTAATTTGTTTTTTGCAAATTCCGTTTGGTATTTCATACAGAAAAATTTGGCATCCCAATGTAAGTTTTCGTGAAACTTTAACTTGATAGATAGACAGTAGCTTAACAAACTGCTTTCACTTATTATTCTGTAGGTGCAAAATGTATGCAGTTTGTGGCACATAATTGCACCAAGACTGCCTCAGAAGCGTATTGCAATGCAGAACTGGCCATAAGGATCATCACACTCCATTACATAATAAAGAGAAGACTCATTTAAGTTATTGAGGAACAAGCAAAACAAATGTATCATGGCAGGTGGGTTATAAAACATAACAGACCTTGCATACGTATTGAGTCCAGAGGTCCCTTTGGATTATTTTCATCCCTGAGTCATTTGAAGTCTCAGAGGTTGATGGCAAGCTTCCATTCTCACTCAGGAAACATTTAAATATCTTCACGGCAGATTCAACTACTTGACGTGTCCATACATCTTCTGATTTGCCTGAAACATAAAATAACTAAATGAATGTAATCCAGGATATTAACTGAGCTAATTGATGACAAGAGAAAATATTCATGAACAAGATTGAAACAGCTTACTTGATATTGATTCTGTGGAATCAACATAGTGTATGTTCCAACTAAACAGATTTTGCAGTCGACTGAGCATCCTCTTCTGTCATGAATAAAGTTTCAATATAAATCATAGACTTTAAGCATCCATACAAACTCCAGCTAATTCAATGTCATCAACAAATATTGATCAATTATATTATTTCCTTTAAGTTATCATGGTTCTGACTTGTTAGAAAATAACAATAATTCTAGGCAACATAACATAGAGTCCTATAGCTAAAACAAATAATAGTGATACTGTACATCCTTGCCAGGTGAACTAGATGCTCTACAAAAATAACAAAAAAGGTATTACAAACTTCTATGTCAAAATTCAGACGAATCATCTGAGTGGTACTGATAATTTTCTATTAAATGTGAAATTAATCAGAAAATGACATTTTCCGTTTCCTTGCATGCCCGACCAAAATGAATTTCATCCAAGAATTCGTTTAAGGAAGTCATAAAATTTTTTACCTGTCGGCGAACAAGTCTCTTGGTATTAACCTTTACTTTTTCAATTGCTTCTTCCAAAAGAATTGTGGATTCAGTGTTAGAGGAAGATCTCACCAACTCCATCAAATTACCATTAAACAATGTCTTGCCCTTTTCTATGCTGGATCCTTCAGTCAATTCCCTCTCTCTATCACACATGTCTTTGACAACACAAGTTCTAAGGAGAGGCTCAAATTCACGGACACCAATAGCCTGTCGCAAACCTCTAGTATAATCAGCATTCAAATTATAAATGTCATACACTTCATTGAGTAATCCATCATCCATCATGCAATCTACCCTCTGCTCTACATGTCTGTCCAGTACAGGGAGAGATGCATCCACACATATAAAACAACAGTCATATCTTAAGTTGTCAACTTGACCCCAATTCTGCCCTGCCACAAGTAAGACCAATATTATTTAAAAGGGGAAAAAAAGAATCAACAGACATATTGGAATAAAACATTAGCAATTTAACATCCTTCTTCCATTATTAACCCACTAGATTCCCACACCAGTTGTCCATCAATAGAAAGATCCAGTATAGAGTGAAATGATGATTAGTGAATCATTGAAGCAATCAGTCAAACAAGACCATAAATATAAATTAGTGAATATAAAAGCATACATGGACAAAGGGAAAAGTGATCATATTGAATTTCCAGTAATCAACAATTACCAAAGAAGACAAACCTCTGCTGCCTTCCCTTGAAAAACTTTACTTGGAAGAACACCAGTGCGAGTATACAAACTAATATATTGCTTTATCTGAAACTCAAAAAAAAAAAAAAAACACAAGTACACGGTTAATCCCCAATTAGGCATTTGGCTTCGTCCTGATAGACGTACAGCAAGCCAGAACTTTAAAACCATAAGACTACAATAACAAGCATACCTATACATGCTTTATACATTATATGAATTTAATTTAAACACATAAATAATTTAGATGCTTGTTACATTGTTATACCATCATAAATCGCCATGTATATTAAGATTGCTGACTTTTGCCACAACTACTTTAAAGGTAAAATCTCAGGTGATATTTAATTAGTTGACAACTTAAAAATCATTATTCACACAATGCATGAAAAAAAAAATTGAACTCATTATTAAAAGAAAAAACATCATGGAATTGTTGCATATGTAACTCTAACTGCATAAATAAGATGGACCATTGCATGCCTCTAGAAGTATATATAATAAATAATCAAATTATTCCCAACCTTTCTATGGTTATTTGGATGGATTCTATTAGCTGCAACTGGATCAATATCCTTGAGGAGATCATAACCCTGGCTTGAACCATCATTTTCAGCAAGGAAACTGTTCTCAGACTGCGTGATGCCTATAAAATTACAGATGCAATAGACGATAAATACATGTCAATTGACACAAACAAAAAATAAAGTAAAATAAAGCACCAAATACATAACAATATACCAGGTGGATCACCCAAACAGCTTTCATCCATATCTTCTGCAGAATCATCTAGAAGAAACGAACTCACAAGAGCCTGAAGAGAATAAATTGGCAAAAGTGCAAAAATAATAAAAAGTAGAAGTCAGCCATATAGGTACATTACTAAGTATTATAAGAAATTTAAACAAATAAATAAAATGAAGAAAACAACGAGACACAAAATAGAATGATTAAGCATTATTCAAAATCCCAACCTGGATATAATAATTCGTACCCCCAACTATAACAGGTACGTGATTACGAGCCAATATGTCATGAATAATCTGAAAATTAAAAAATAATAACAAACCAAAAACATAAAAAAAAATAAAAAAAATAATAATAATAAAATTGCCTTCTCTTTCTTGTTCTGTTTTAAGACATACAGGAATAGCGGAATCCCGAAACGCTTTAGCGGTGAATTCCACATTGGGGCTTATAGTGCCCAATAGATGATGTGGAACTCCTGCAACAAATTCGAAAGGTGATTTCAGAGACAGAACGAGATTGGGATGGGCAAAATCAGGTGCCACGAGGATACGGTGGTACCGTTCTGTTGAGAGAGAGGGAGTTTGTTGGCGAGAACATCGAGGCCACGGTAGACCTGCATGGAATCCGCGTTGATGACTTCGATGGGGAAGTGAGAGGCCAAATCAACGGCAAGCTTCGACTTCCCGGAAGCGGTGGGGCCCGTTATGACAACTACCTTCGGTCGTTCACCATTGGTGGAGTTTGAAGTTACTGTGCTCTCTGTCGCCATTGTTAACCTTTCTTTCACTTAACGTTCTCCTCCTACTTGAACCTTTGGGTGTTGGGACAAAATAATCAAAATATTTCCAAAGGTTTTAGGGTTTCAATGAAAAAATTATATTTGCCTATTTATTTGTTTATCTATTTCATGAAAATAATAATCTAAAATCTATATTTATTTGTGAAAAATTAGACTTGCCTATTTGTTTATTTCACAAAAATTATAATCTCTGTAATCTATATTTAATCACACTGCAAGAATGGTAATTCACCAATTTTATTTTAAAGACTTGTTTGTTTTTTCATCTGCTATAAATGACTTATATACTATTTTCATTTTGTTTTAGCATTTTTTTAATCAAATTTTCAATTTACTTATATTTTAAACTCAGACTTTCTTAATAAATAGTATTTTTTAATGTATAATAAGAAAAAATAATGTAAAATATGAACTATTTGGCTTTCCATTAGTAATAATAATAATTATTATTATTTTTAAAGAATCTTATATAGAAATAGATTTTGTTTAATTGTATTATAATATAAAATTTATTTTCACTTTTTTTTGACAAATATCTAATTCATATATCAACTTTACCTTAACATAATTACCAGATTCTGTAATTTTAATCTAAAATAATACTGATGTTATAAATTAATTGAAATATTTAATTGATAACCTAGTATAGATGTAGTTAATATTAGGAATTTGTTAAAAAAAAAAAAAAAAGTAAACTCTTACGAAACCGTTCGGGGATTTTAATTTAATAAACCTCTTAGTATGTGATCACACGCATTCTATCTTTTGAATATCCTTTACCATATAAGAAAAAGTATAAATAGATATAATATACACATAATAATTCATATATTTTTATATTTTCTTATAATATAATTGATTAAGTCTAAATTTTATTTTAAAAAGGTATTTTAGTAAATTAAGAAAAAAAAAAAGCATTGTAAGTTATTGATTTGAACTTTAAATGATATAGTATTTTATGACATATGAAAACACATTTGTTTTTTTACTAAAAATGAATAAATTAAGGTCCACTCATCAATTGTCATAATACTCTTGTAACATAAACACACGGTTCCTTTCAACATTAAATTAATTTTAGCTCGCAATAGAAATAATTTGATGGCCAAAATTTCTGAAAGTGTAAGTGCATGCGCAAAATGTTGAGCAATAGAACAACTCCTTCAAGGTTATTGAAATGGTTGAGTTTTGTATTTGTGACATCAATTAGGTAAGTTGAAACACAAAAGAATGGATTAGTTTCCATTCACCCAAAAAAAGAAAAAAAAAAGAATTAGATCTTTCTGATTGTTCAGTTTGAATATCACATCTGAAATAAAATGACAAGAACTTGTGCAATGTTCAGAATTTGGGTGTCTAATGCACAATTCCTAATCAAATCCTCAAAATACAGTGAAATCACATACTATGCCACATACAACCACATGGTTCTAGTTACATCACACTTCATCCAGAAGTAAGGTTACTTGTATTAGCATTTCAGTTCAGTGTATCTACGTTTTTGCTTAACTCCTCCAGCTTCTTCATCCTCAACTTCTCACTTTCAGTCACCAGCTATCCCAAGTTCATTCAATAAAGAGGGAAAAAGACAAGTTAGCAAGCAAATTTAGAAAGTTTTGCACACACTTAAATCACCAAAGAAATTCTTACCTCCATTAGCTTAGTAACAAGTTGAGCTTTTTCCTTGTTTTTCTCATTGAAAGAATCAAGGGCTTCCTTATATTCTCTTTCCTGTGATCCCCCCAAAAAAAAGAAAAGTGAAGATAGAAAAATCAAGTAAAAATAGTTTATATATATATAGTAAATTTGGTTATTTACAAAATATTTGGAATTTTGTTTAACACTTATGTAATTCTCTTCTTATTTGTCAACCCATTTTTTGAAAAGCATATTCAACAATGGTAACTTATGAGTGGTTTGTGGTTCATATTTCCCTTCAACCCTTTCTTTTATTTTTTCTTTTCCAGGCATAATGATGTAAAAGAAGCCTTGCATGAGGAATTTGAAATCTGTCATTGAACCAAATAGATCATTTTCTACGTGGACTTTTGAACACAATTATTAATAATGAACACCTTAACCACTAAATAATCATGTCCACTTTGCCTCCCAGTTGATGAGACAATATGGGGCCAAGAAAGCAAGCATGGTTAATTGATTAAATTCTATTCAGTGCTCAAATGTTTGTATCAAAAGCTGTGTAGGTAAAACAGATGGGGATCACTTTGCCACCTTGAACAAATCCCATGGCTTAAGAAATGGTTTTAGAAATGTCAAAAGCAAACAACTGGTAAACAGTTGGAAAACCTCACCTTTCTTTGGCAGGTTTGGCCCAGTGGCTTTAACTCTTTGTTCACACTGTCTATTTTCTTTCGAACCATTGCAACCTCCTTCCTCAATGGATCTGTGAGACCCTCAAGCTCCTACAACATGATGTTTTTTCAAAAAATTATTATTCAACGCTGGTGGTGACATGTAATTAGTTTTGTTCAGGAACATGGAAAAATAACCAATACACCATAAGACACAAAATCGCTTTTGAAATTTTGATCATCCTCAATTCTTGTTCAAAGGGTTTATGAGAAAATTAAAAGGAAACAAAATTTCTAATCAGATTAACCTGCTTGGTTTACAAACACGAATAGATTCTACACTTTTTACTCATGCCTTAAATTTATTGGCGTGTTTGGAAAGAGAAGTAAGAAATCAGGTATGAGATGTAGAAATTTTAAGTATTGACTTCTTACAAAACATGAAAAAGCATGTCTGGAATGTGGAACCAAACAAGCTATATATTGATTGGTATTTAAAAACATAAAAACAGAAGAAAACAAATAAAGCATGAAAGCTTAGAACTAAACCAAATACCACATCAAAGGGAAATAATCAGTATTGTGACACTTACTTCTCTAATCTCAGCCAAGCGTTTTGTTTCCTCCTCTACTCGACCCAGGTAAGCATGAACCTTATCCCTCACCTCCATTTTTTTCCTCTCAATTTCTTCTTCTTTTGCTCTGAACATTGCCAAAGCTGATCTTGACATCTCCTCCTCCTTGTCATCCCTCATTGGACTCTGGTTGACGTTAATCATCCCCGAGTTTCTCACACGCTGCACATTTGGTTGTTGTTGGTGTTGCTCATAAGGCTGTTTCGGTGTTGCCATTATTGCACCACAAACTACAACACTCGTTGTCCTCTCCCAAGCCAGTTATCTCACGTTTTCTTTCTCTGTTCTTTTTCTCTTTTTCTCGGAATGATGGCTCTACTTTCCCCTGAGGTGCTTATAAACAGGACTGGTTTTAGGGTATGAGACTAAGTAGTTTATTTTGTTAACAAACCTTAGAATAAGCCCAAATGACAGATATGCCTGCCAAAAGCTATGAAGTTAACAGTGGATTTATCTTCTCTAAACAAATACTTAGTGTTTTTCCTGCCACCTTTACTCACAAGCCAACTTGATTATATGGCACCATCAAAGTTCTAGTATTGGATTTGGAAGGTGTTATACGTCGAGAGTATAAATGTTAAATCTTTGACTACACTTCTCCGTTTTATTATTCTCTGAAAACTTAGTGGAGAATCTTTACCAGAGTGCTTTGGTTAGGTAGCTATTTTCTTAAGTTGGTATATTGGCAAATTCAGCTAACTACTGTTTCTCAACATGGAATCAATAGTTGATGTATGGACCAAAAAAATTGCAAAGACGCATGTACATATATAGTTATATATACCTGCCACCCCACGGTAACTTATAGAATCATATCATATCCTCTTGCCACTTATATATGGCAATTCCTAATACATCCATTTAAGGTAACATATATACGCATTTTTTCTTAGAAGTTTGTAACAAGCGTTGGCAATTATATAGGGTGCTTTCTTTAAGATAGAAAGGTGCTTGGACCATAAGTTTTGGTTGAGGAGTGAACAGAAAGGGCTCACCTACTGCTACATAAAGCATGAATGTGGGAGAGCCTTAAGAAGCAAGACAGATTAGGAGAATTGGCAGTAGCCAGTTTGCCTTTATAAAAAAATAATTACCCATATGGATGACCAGCACAAAAATACAGCAGAAAGTCACATACGCACACAGCTTGGCACTATGAGAAAGGGAATTCCAGCTTATGTTCCAAATAATTGGTCTCTCACATTACACTGGGTCAAGCAATGTTGGATTCCACTGATGAATCTATGTGTGAAAAGTGAAAGCACAGAAAGCATTATCATAGAATCTTAATTCATTTTTAAGGTAATATTTCCCTGCATGTGACCGCCTCTTAAATCGAGTTAACATACGGAATGAATCTGAGATTGTTTAATTTTTCTTCAAAAAACGCACATAACAAGAATGATTTAAGTAGGGACAAGTACAACACGAGTAAATACATGAAAGAGTGGGTGATGAATACTTTCCAGGCTGACTTATGATCCTCCATTATTAGTTAGTATTCGTCGATGTTTTTTTTTTCCCTTCTTTCGTTACATCATAATTGATTAATTTGTGGATTAGCCAATTAGGATCTTCCTTTGAGTTACCATACACTTGTATAGTTCTTAAAAATCCATGAAGAGAACCCTACTTTCTGATGTACACTCAGAAGTGAGAAAAACTTAAAAGTCAATCCAGCTCTGTCAAGTGGTGTGTACATTCAAAGATCTGCAAATTTTCTGCTGAACTTATTAGAGATATTTGAATGTTACTTGGCCCACAGTCCACCCACCCAAAAATTTATAGTTTCCAGCTTAGTGGTTGGTTGGTGTGCTCTTGGTTGTGGGTGTTGACCGTCCATGAACTTCCAAGTATCTGAGTTTTGATCAACAGCATTGAATATCTGAGGTCTATAACTGCTGCGACTAAGAGAGCAGTACCTACTGGTTCTGGTACGTCATGTCGGGCTTTAAATTGCATAGGCCCACCAGGCCAACTTATCATATTTCCACTGAATTTATCTTGTTTAAAGATTCTGCTTTGTCTGATAATGATAAAAATTTGTTTGCTACTGGCGCAATGCACTCCTTTTTTACATAATCAAACAAAACTGCCAGGAAGACAAAGTATGCTAAAATTGCACCCATAAATTCTCAACTAAGGGGCAAATTTGTGCTTAAATTCAGATACTTTATCGAAGTATGATTTAATCCACTGAAACAGATTGCTTTCTCCTAAATAACAAAGTTGCTTGCTTTTAATATCGTGTTTGGACCCGCGAGATATTTTCATTTAGAGTTTTGTGGATCCGATTGGGCAAAGAGTACTCGCACCCAAACCATATCACGCCAACTTCCAAATCATGTTGGTCGAACAGAACACCAAAACAAGTGATAATTTGGGTCCAATTGAAAGACGCAATAAGCCCATATTTCAAGAGGGTTACATTCAGAAGGTGGATTTTCGAACCAAAACATTACACAAAAAGTAACGGAATAACTCAGCTGACTCCTAACCCCATGTAGTACTTCCTCACCATTTTCAATTGCAAAATGTATAAAAACTCCAGATTCATATTAATGGTCTGAAGTGTTGAATTGAGATTCTAATGATAACGTGTTTGATTTTCAGTTGGACAACTCTACATCATGGTACGGGATAAATCAGAAAGAAAAATTATTTTACCCAAATCATGGTTGGCTCTCCAATTTAAAACCAACCATGCATTAAGAATAAATACAAATATGGAGTTGCAATCCGCACTTGGATCCACCTTTGACCATTTCACAAGTTCCCGTCACCACCTATAGCTTAAGGCAATTCATGGAAGGCCATGCAGGCTTACGTTCCATTAACTACTCTCACCAGGCAATTCCACTGGACTATCAACCATGCATTCTATATGGCAAATTGAAAAAGGACAAAAGCATAAACCAGAATCTGAAACCAGCAGTCTGAGCCAATTCACCCAATTTGATTATATCAAACATACAAATAACAACTTTCATTAAAGTTATAAAAACCCACCAATGGCAGTCAAAATCTGCAACTAAGCAAATTTATTAAGAGAATAAACATAAGTGCAAAGAAAACCACTGGTTCATAATAAGAAGGCTATGGTTTGTGTGGCAAATAGCCCACCTCCTCAATCCGAAATTCCCAGGTCATTCTTTCTTTCCAATTCCATGTGACATATTATAGATCCCTCGTCCCTGGACAACATGCAAAAACAGTGTCTTTATAATGACTCGAAATAAATGGAGAATTGGAGACATACTGATAATGAAGTCAACAAAGTACAAGAAAAAAAAAAAAACTTATTACAATTAAACTTACAATCAGATAAAGTGATGATGCAGCCAAAGCCAGAGGTATGGCCACAGATGTAATCTTATCCATGGGTCCCTTCAAGTATGTATGCCTGTGGATATTCTGGAAATATTTTTGCTTCTCAAAAAGCTTTTCTCGTGGTCTAAATGGTCCTTCCGACATCCTGCATACCACAGCCAATGATTATCTCATTTTTTTTCCATCACACAAAATAAGATGAAAACATGGCATGAAATGAATTGAAAACAAAACAAAACTTGTGATGCCCCCTCCCCCTTTTCTCCACCAGAATATAACAGATCGAGAGAAGTAGTTCAAGCCTTTAACTAAATGCAACTCAGGCATCAAACAAGCAGGGGAAAAACGAAAGATAAAAAAGGAATAATGAGATAAATATATATAAAGCACCATACTACCAAACACTCGACTGACCCAACCGTGATTTGTCATTTGTATCAAACATTGTAGGGGTTTTCGGGTGAACAAGAAGATACAAAAGCTATATACCAATAATCCAGTACAAACAAATTTCAATCTCATCAGACAATATCTAACGAGTCACATCAGAAAAAGCTCTACATGTACAACGAAACAGGTTTCCAAACTCCAAAGAGTAACAAACTATCTCTTGCTACATTTTCCTCACCATTCCATAAATTCTAGCACAAGCACACTGCCCCGCATTTTGAAAATTGGATGAATTAATTATTATAAAAGTGTAAATATGAGGTTACCGATTGCAGTAGTGAGAGGTAGTACTGGGAGGTTTTGATTATTAACGATTCGTCAATAATCCAAGCAAATATTATTATGTTATACGTGCCAAAAGAGCATGAACAGAGTTACCATCACCAAATGCATGCCACTACTACCGAGGAACATAGGTATGCCTAACCCTAATGTTATTTTACACACCTTGAAGTAAGCTCCCAGTTTCATAATTCAACAGAACATTAAATAAATAATCCTCGCCCGCCACACACACGTTACAGATTAAAAACAAATCGAAGCATCAATTTGACTAGTAACTAAAATAGACAAAACAACAAACTATTCAGATTTAAGCGAGAATAAACAATCGAATACAATCATAGATTGAGCAATGATAAAGACCAGCATCGTCGATAAGGCACACTGTTTGAAAATATCAAAGCATGGGATTTTGGCAAAAATTATTAATTTTGATTTTGGCAAAAACAATTAAAACAACGAGATCTGGGAGAAGAGCGTGACTAAATCGTGCAGTGTGAGTAAGAAATAGAATGGGGGCTCTACAAGCTTACTTGGAACGATGGGTTTCTCTGACGATTGTGAGATTTGTGGCGAAGAAAGATGACGAACCACCTCTGACAATTTAGGGTGTTTTCGATTAGGGAAGATGAACGACTTTTATAGGGCTCCGTTTACACCCGATCCGAATCGAAAAATGTGTTACAACTGATCCTTCCGTAAAAAACAATTAGTGGTTAAAGTTAATTATAAAAAAACAAAGAAAATTTGTTATAACAAGAAAATAGAGTTAATTTCAAATAGTATATATTTATTTGTAAGATGAGAACAAATTGCTGCAAAAGTTATTAAAATAAAATAAATATTATCAATTATAGTTAGAGCATATTTATATTCTTCCACTATTTTTTAAGCTTCAGATTTTATCTAACTTTTTTTGGTTTGGTTCTTTAGATTTTAAAATTTTGATCTTTATCCATATATGTTAAGCAAATTTTTTTTTCATTTTTTACACTAATTTATAAATGTAATATTGTCAAAATATATATATATATATATATATATATATATAAAAGCAGTTGACAAAATATAAAGTTATTTATATAATATATTTGTGTTAAATCTAAATTTATAAATAAATAAAAAATAATAGAGGGAGAAAATATTGATAGTTAAAAGAAATAAAAATAATATTTGATAAAAGACATATTAAATATAGAAAATTAATCATAAAGTATTATAGAAAAAAGAGAATCAAGAGATATAAAAAATGTCAAGAGTATCATTAATTAAGAATTGAGTGATGAAAGAGTGAATAACATTAAAACAACATGATACAATGTATCGAAGAAACAAAATATTGATAGGGGTTATGTTGGAGAATCTTTGACTGGTGTATCGAAAAATTTGTAAAAACGATTATGATCTAATTCTGTGGTATGTGTAATTACATGTGACGCATATCAATAAAGTGAAACAAAAGAGAGTAAGTACAAGAAGATAATTGTTCTAAGATTTTAGTTAATAGTTTTATTTTATATTATTATTATTATTATTATTATTATTATTATTTTATGATACTTTACCTGGTCACATTGAAAAATATATATAGAATAAAATAAATATAAACAGGATGATTGTTAAATTGTACGAATAAACTTACATTCTTTTAAAATGCTACCAACTAGAAACAAATATTTTTAATGAAGTTCTTTGTAATTTGGATGCTACTTTTATTGATTTTCTTTATTCATTTATATTTTATCGTTGGTAATAGATTAAATTTATTTTTCTTACATATTTACTTTTCAACCATTTATTTTTATTGTCCTTTACTATTTTTATAATTTACTTAAAATATTTCAAATTATATTAAATATAAAATTTGAATTTGAATAATTTTTAATTGAAATTTACTCCATTTACAGGACAAATACTTTGATAATATTTAAGAAAAAAAAATAGACAAAAAAAACTAATGTATAAAAATTATATTATGAACCAGCAATCGACCGAGAATGTAAATAATTTTTTTATATATTTAAATATATATATATATAATTATATAAAGTTTTTATTTATTAATTATTATTTTTATTATATAAATAAATTTTTTTATTGATTTATGTATTAAAATAACAACTTATAATCAATTATTTAAATTTAATTAATTAATTTTTATAATTAAAAATATAATATCATAATATATTTACTATTTTAATAACATAACACAACATATATAATACTGTTAGTGATAATTATTTTTATTTTAATATATAAATGCCACCTTATCTATTTTGCTTTTAACCATTGAGTTGTGGGTTAGATAAGATAGATTAAAATGCACTGATAAACTAAAATAATCAATTTGTCCTCCTTTGTTAGGCGGGTGGGTCTATAAAGTCTAATTCATTTTGCCATCCTATTTTAAATAATTAGCTTTAGACGACAAAATGGATCAAATTGTCTCGTTTTTAACTCATAAAAAATAAGATAAGACATACTGATATCTTATAATCAAGACGGAGTATAGATCTCAATATATCTCATTAAAGGATTAATCGATCGATCATGAGAATGATTATTTATATAAAATTTTTTATATGTATTTAAAAAAATTGTGATTTTATAAATAATTTTTAAATTTTTATTTATTAATTAATATTTTTATTAGATAAATAAAAAATGATTATATTTATATATTAAAATAACTAATTATAATCAATAATTTAAATTTAATTAATTAATTTTTATAATTTAAATTATAACATTATAATATATTTATATATTTTAATAATATATCATATAAAATATAATATTTTAATTATTTTTATTTTAATATATAAATATTTTATTAAAATAATTAGAAGACTCAAACAAAAAATAAAGTAAAGAATAAAATTATAGTCAATTTTTAAGTACGAACCATTGGGCAAAACGGTTTTGCGATCCGTAAGCTTTGTTTTATAAAAGCAAACATCCAACGATTATGTTTATCCTATGCAATCCCTTCTCTAATGAATCAAGCCGATCCTACTAGAACACAATAAACCAAAACTTTAAATAGTATTTTATTATTGTGAATTTAACCTTATTTTTATTTAATTCATACTACCATATTTAAGAATAAAAAACAATTAAGAACACGGTCACACAGTGACAGAGAGAAGAGATACAGAAAAGAAAAGAAAAGAAGAGAGGCAAAATGGCACAGCAAGGAAAGCTCAAGCGATTGACACTGCCATGCTAGCCATATTCTCTCTCGCTAATTCGCGCCACTACTCTTCAACGCTCTTCGCAAAACATGCGCTCCAAGGACAGAATCGCTTACTTCTACGACGGTGCGGTTTCCCTTCTTAATTCTTCTGTTGTTTACTTTCATATTCTTTAAATCGCGTTCATTCGTTTCGTTGTTTTTTATCCGAATATTTTTTCGCGGAATTCAACTCGTGAAGTTCGTCAACGCCATGTGTCACGTGGTTTTTAAATTCTTAGCTTAGTTCGTTCTTGAATATCGAAACCCTAGCTAGCCCTATATTATGGCTTTCCCGCTGATTGCTGCGTTTGATTGAAAGGAAATTGTGCAATTAAGATATGAACTTTAGGACTGTTTTAGATTTCTGATTCTGCTTCATGTTTGGCTCAGTGTTTGTTCTGGAAACTTTAACGCTGCGAATTTTGGAATGTTGCACTTAAAAAAGATGTGTGGCTGTCACTATAGGGTTTAGTTTTAATTTTCTTTATTAATATTCATGCTGTTCAGTAACAAAATCAGCCTCTTTAATAGCAGTCGAGTTCTGTTAGGACCTGTTCAATCTTGAATACTAATTAGTTTTCCGGTTCTAGGTTTTAAATTGTGGTCAACATTTGCATTTGTGGCTGCAACATCAAGGTTTTTGTGGTTTTCACAACCACATCGCCACACCAGCCACATTTATTTGCAATATCAAGGATTGCAGGTAACTGCAACCTCAATTTAAAACCTCGGCTCATATCAAGGAGTTCCTTTACCATATTTGTTAAGAAGTATAAATTGATATTTGAAATTATTTAAAGAAAATGCAATGATTAATACACTTAGAACTTAAAGCTTTACTTTTCAATTTCCATTTAATGTTTCTTTTTAATCCATAATGGCGATCGAATGGTCGATCTACTATTCTTTATATTATCCACTAGGTTTTGTTTCTTTGCATATTTCCTTAATGGCGCACAATAACGATAAGATGATAAGATAACCGTCGATCTAATTCATTTTCATATTACTCAAGTAACTCAACTTTCATATTGCAGGCGACGTCGGTAGTGTTTACTTTGGGGCAAAGCATCCGATGAAGCCACATCGGCTTTGCATGACTCATCATCTTGTTCTCTCGTACGATCTTCACAAGAAAATGGAGATTTATGTTAGTTACATATGTTGGCTATGTTTTTTTTATTTTATTTATATGGTTGTATTTTTGTGGCCAAGGTGTTACATGATATTGTTCTGATGGTTTCTTTTATGTGTATGATCCAGCGTCCACACAAGGCATATCCTGTTGAGCTTGCCCAGTTTCATTCAACTGATTATGTCGAGTTTTTGCACAGGATTACCCCTGACACTCAGCACTTGTTCTTAAATGAACTGACAAAATGTATGCCTTTTAGTTTTAAATGGGTTCAGATGTGATTTTAAGTTTTGCTATGATACCAAAATACTTGACACATAATTTGTCTTACACGCAACTGTCATTAAATTAGGTTCCGTGTCAGAAACATTGTCAGAAACATTGTGGGGAAGGGGAGGAGGAGAGTTCCATAAATGTTTTGGATTACCATTATCCAACCCTAATGTTCATGGTGAATAAGCTTGGGGCTAAAGGTAGTGGGTTGGGAAGTACTTTAGAATATAATAAATGTTTTACCTACAATTCGTGCTACTTTTCATCAAAACATAAGCTTACCTCCCTTCTATAAATTATCGATATTTGACTTTTGAAATTAACATTTTCCGACCACAATGTTTATATTATGTTTTTTTTTCTATATTATCAACCTATTGTCTAGATACCAGCTAACATCAGGTTTCTGCAATTTCCTTAATCATTTGTTTCAGATAATCTGGGAGAAGACTGCCCAGTATTTGACAACTTATTTGAATTTTGTCAGATTTATGCTGGTGGAACTATAGGTATAATTTTTTTTATAATAGTGATTCTCTGAATTTTGTTATGCCTAGTTTGTGATATATATGCTGATTGACATGTGTGCCTACAGATGCTGCACGTCGATTAAACAACCAACTTTGTGATATTGCTATAAACTGGGCTGGTGGACTTCATCATGCCAAGAAATGCGAAGCATCTGGGTTTTGTTACATCAATGACTTGGTTTTAGGAATCTTGGAGCTTCTTAAATATCATGCCCGTGTTTTGTATATTGATATAGATGTGCACCATGGTGATGGCGTAGAAGAAGCCTTCTACTTCACTGACAGGTCAGTTTCTTATATTACAAGGTGAAGCTATTACTAATTGAGAATATAGGACAGTTTTGCCATGCTGCATTTGATTTTTCTCTACCATTTTAAATTGTAAGCTTTCTCATTACAGGGTGATGACTGTCAGTTTTCACAAGTATGGAGACTTGTTCTTCCCTGCTACTGGTGATGCTAAGGTGGTTTTCTTTTTTCTGTTTGTATCTTCAGTTAGTAATTAGTTCTCTTGGTTTAGGTGTGCCAATCACTCTATTTCTGTTGCAACTTTATCATCATTACTATAATATTAGTATTCTAGATCTGGATTTCACTTTCCCCTTGTTGTAATTTGCTAAATAGATGCTCTTCTGTCTGAAAAGTTTCAGAACTATTCTATATAGATTGGAATGATTTGAACTGATTTTACCATATTAAAGGAAATAGGAGAAAGAGAAGGAAAGTTTTATGCCATAAATGTCCCATTGAAGGATGGAATAGATGACCTTAGCTTCACGCGACTTTTCAAGACTGTAAGTTCAATCCTTTTGTTTTCCTTTTATATATTTTGCCAAACTTCAAACTCGATTCTAAAGATTCTCATTTTAAATTCATTGGATTATTTCTGATTGATGGTAATTTGTCTAAACAATTTGAAATTCTTATGTTATAGATTATTTCTAAAGTAGTTGAAACATATCAACCTGGTGCGATAGTTCTACAGTGTGGAGCAGATTCGCTTGCTGGAGATCGCTTGGGTTGCTTCAATCTCTCTATTGATGGTGCTTATCTCCTAGTAAATTTCCTATTCTGATAAAAATATCATTATTCTATGCAGGGATAAGGCTTGGTTGATCTTGTTTATGTTGTCAGTTTATCTTTGTTCTTCTCAAATGTTGGTCTCTATTTGATTAATGGATGGCTTAGCTTGATCAGAAAATTTATATTTTTGATGTTTCCTTCTTTCATAGGTCACGCTGAATGTGTTAACTTTGTAAAGAGATTCAATTTGCCATTGCTGGTGAGTTAATCCGTTTATGTTTGCCTTCCACTCACTTCTGCTATGCGTGATTTTACATGAATGGGCTTCTGCCACAGGTCACTGGAGGTGGGGGATACACAAAAGAAAATGTTGCTCGATGTTGGACTGTTGAAACAGGAGTCCTTCTAGATACAGAGCTTCCTAATGGTATAAATTAGCCTCTTTTCCAAGTATTGAATTATGAAATATTTTACCAAGATTTTATTTTCTTCTGTTAATTGGATTAAATATTTATTTTGTTCAAGCTTCAAAGTGAAACTAAAACACTATCATGTCATGTGGATTGTGAAGTTATAGTGATTTGAACTAGGTTTTTTAATAGAGTTAGGAATAAATCCTCAACTAGAAAAGATCAGAATTCATTCCCAAACCAGGAAGAAAAAAAAAACACTACAGAAATTTGAGGTTCTGTAAACCTGACTGTCCAAAGCCCCCCCCCCCCCCCCCACACACACTCAATACCAAATGTCCTCTCCCCTGCTTTTCCATACTTTTGTTACAACCCTAACCCCTGTTCTGTCTCTTTCTTATAATTTCTATGTAATCTAAGCATAGAATATCTTCATCTGCATACCACATTCGGGAATAGTGAAAAAATATATAATACCAAATTTCCCTCAGGAGAATAAGAGAGGTTGCGATACACTGATGTAATTATTGTTTCATTATACATTGTCTTGCAAAATTTGCCCAGATAATAATTTATCCCCCAAATGCTTTCTATGCTAGTAATAAGCTTCTGCTTTAGGTTTGTGTCCTGATAGAAAATATAATCTGCTTTAACCCTACAAGCTCCTAATAATATAATACATGTCTTGTCCAAGTTAGTCGATTCAGCATTCCAGATTTAAATTGTCTTATTATTTGCAAAGTGGAAATGTTTCTTACTTGCTTGCTCTATCTTGCAGAGATTCCAGAAAATGATTACATTAAATATTTTGCACCAGAATTTTCTTTGAAGATTCCAAATGGACACATAGTATGTATTTTCTCAGTAATATTGTGTAATATTATCTTTATTTTTTGGGGTTTCTCTCCACTGTTGAACTTAATTTTATGGTTTTTTTGTCATTTAATGTCTCCATTTCCATTGGATAGGATTATATACTAGTTATAATATTGAATTTGCAGTGTCTGGTGTCTTTACTCTCTATAATATTGCTTGTACTAATTTTTCCGTTAAATTAATCAGGAAAACTTAAATAGTAAATCATATCTTAGCACCATTAAAATGCAAGTCTTGGAAAATCTTCGCTGCATCCAACATGCTCCAAGTGTACAAATGCAGGAGGTGAGTGTGAATTCATCCTTGATATAGGAGCTCCCCATGGCAGGCTCAATTGTTTTTCATAAAATTGTTTCCTGGGAATGTTTTGTTGACTTTAGAGGTGTTATGGTACAAGCTCTTCAACTTTCTTGTATTCATAATCTTTTACCAATAGGTTACTAATACATTATTTGGAGGTTTATATTTAAGCATTTGAAGTGACAAATATTCCTTCTTATAATGTTTCTGAATTTAGAGAATCGTCTGTGGTTTGGGAGAGAGAGAAGGGTTCCAAAGTTGGGTGGAATTTCAGGAACTATATATCAAAAGTAAAATTGTTAAACTGAAGGAAGATGGCCATTGAAATTAGGCGTTTGGGCTCTCTTTCTCCCTTACGAGATTGAAATCTATTATTTAGGCTATGCCTGTAAGTAAACTTGGAATCTCAAAACTCATAATTAATCCTTCGATGTTTCTAGTTGGCCTCCATTTTTTGTTGAATTGTTTGACTTGGGTTCAAACCCCTCTGGTGATGTCATGATCCAACCATTTTTTATAATGCATCAACTTGTAATGTTTTCCAAAATGTGTTACTAACGTTTTGAGAGTCACAGGTCCCTCCTGACTTCTACATTCCAGATTTCGATGAAGATGAGCAGAACCCTGATGAACGCATTGATCGTAAGGAAAAAGAAAAAAAATTGATTAATTGCATTTCTGATCTCTATTTTAATCTGTGATTTTGGCATGTCTAATTTTGATTGCTCATACTTAGTCTTCATATTTCTCCAATTGTTCAAATTAAGTCTTTTACCTCAATTTTTCATTCAATAATTAACATAAATATAATAGAGATTTAACATAATTGATTTATATAAATTATCCAAGAAAAAGTGTATAAAATGTTTGAATAAAAATATTATGAATGTGGGTAGGCATGTATGTGGATCTGTGTGTATATATATACACAGATAGAGAGTATAGTACTCAATCCTTTATTCTAACAGGCAACTCATTTTAATAGTTAGATTAAAAGAAAATTAAAGAGGAGGGTTAAGATGGAGAGTGACACCTAAAGTTACTCTGGGAGTCATTTTATTATGCATGAAAAATTCCATTTGGGGTAAAAATAACTTAATTGAGAAATCATAAGTACTAAATATGTATGAGTAATTAAACTAGAAGAACTAAAATTGCATATAGACTTACTAAAAGTGTAATTAAGTAAAAAGGATAATTTTCCTTATTCTTTTTTAACTGAGTGCCAAATCATAGTTGATGGATATGACAAGTCTCTTTTCAGAACACACTCAAGACAAGCACATCCAGCGCGATGATGAATATTATGAAGCTGACAATGACAATGATCAAATGGATGTTTCGTGAAGTTATCTAGATCTGATTTCGCTGCAGTCACATTCGGCGGTCAAGGGTGCATACATGATCTATTGGCAATTTTTTTTTTTCATCTTATATTAAGTTAATGAAGAATGCCAGGATCACACTCTCAGTATACTCTTCCTTGTACACCCTCCTTTATTGGTTCAAATTTATTGACATATGTGTTAAAATTTATTGATGAACTTATTAAAATTTGTTGAAAATTTTAAAGTCAGATAAGAGAGTCGGTTAGTAATTTGAGATTCACCAAATTCTGTAATTTTCAATAAATGTCGATCAACGAAAGTGTTCAAAAAAGGCATGTTAATGTTTTCCTATCATTTCTCTGATTTTAGATTTATAAAATGAGATTAAGGGTTAATATTCAAAATGCCTTCTCTCTAACAGCAGGGGATCCTGATCCAAGTTACCGAGCCATGTAGCCAGGGTTATGGGTGTGACCATTTCAAGAGAAAGAAAATGCAATTAGACGGAAACACCTAGTTGTATCAAGAAAGCGGTGGGGCTAGAACAATATACTTGTATGTTAGATTTTTGTATAGTTTCGAAATTTTATATAATCAAAAGTTCATTGTTGATGATGTCTTCGTATTACGAAATGTCATTTTTTCTGAGAGATTAAAATAGAACGTGGCACCAATGTTTTCAAATTCGGTCGATTTATCGATCTCGTAAAAAATCGGGTATTTTTTTTAATAAATTAGATTTTAATTAAATCAATATATAACTGAAAAAATCAGTATGAAATCGTAAAAATAAGCTGAATTTTGGATTAAATCAGTTTGAATAAAAAGATTAAATCAGTTTGATAAAAAAAAAGTTAAAGATAATTTTTTTTATAAAAGATATAATATTTTTTTATCTTACACAAATTATGTAAGTATTAAATAATAGTTCATTTATTATATTTTATCATACTTTATTATTATCAATCTCATATTTTTTTACTACAATTTATATTTTTTATTTTTGTTATAATTTTTTAGGGGAAAAACAGATATTTTAATGCCTAAGTATCCATATTTCAAAAAAATATATATCCACATTTTTCTTAAAATAATTATTTTTTAATATATCTCACACTTTTATCTATATTTTTATGTGTTACACTTTTTTTTTACTATCCTCACTTTTTTTCTCTTTTTTTTTAAATGCGTAAATAATTTTTTAATTTTTTTTTACTTTCTCTATATATGGGATTTTTTATATATAATATAGATATATTTTACCTAACTTTCCTTTTGTAATTATTTATTTTATTTTTTATATAAATTATTATTATTAATAAAAAATTTATTATATTATTGTATTTAAAAAAATATTATTTTATTAAATTTAATTGAAACTCTAATTAAATCTTTAAATACTGTATCAATGTCTTTTATCAATTTGACCACCTGATCAATGTTAAAAATACTGGTAAAAACAACTTTCACACAAGCTGAATAATTTTTTTTTCTTTCAAATAACCTTTTCATAAACAATATTGGCCGTTAGAATTCCACTAGTTGTCAAATTACAGTATCTTCTGAAAAAAATGGAGATGAAGAAAGGGATTGTATTATTTCATTCAATTTATGGGAGGAGTCTAAAGATTTTTTTTATATTGATTTTTTTTATATAATTTTCAGTTTTCTAATTTTTAAAAATTAAAATTTCTGTTGATAATTATTTTATTAAAACAATTTTTAAAAATAAGTTTTTTTTAAATTAAAAATTAAAAATAAAATTAATAAAATAATATATATATATATATATATATATATATATATATATATATATATATATATATATATATATATATAAATGGTACTCATGTCTTCACTAATTGCATCACATTATCCATTTTTTTTCATCACAAATTATTAAAACTGATTTTTAACTTTTGTTATGACTTTTTTTTTTCAGTTGTCTGGTGTCATAATTTTTTATCTAAATTAAATTTTAAACTAGAATTATTAAGCAATTATTTTTTTAAATTATTTTCAAAAACTATTTTTAAAATCTATAAAATAAAACTAAATCAAAAAAGTTATAATCATAACTCTCATATTTATTTATTTTTCGATCCGTGGCAAGATTTGAAATGATTTAAAGCATTTTGAATATATTGATTAAAATATTGTTGTCTACAAAGATATACCAACTATGTCTACTCTCTCTTTTTTTTAAGAAAAATCAATTAGTTAGTTTAGTTAGCGACATTATATTTGTCTAAGTATAAAACACACTATGGATTGATCTTATAAAAGAAGACTAAACTCTAATTTTAGAGTAAGTCTATAATTAAGATGTGAGGAAGTATTAAAAATCTTTGCTTTCTCTTCCATTAAAACTCTTCTCTCAAACAACCAAGCATTAAATTTTTTTTTTTCCCTCTTCTCCGAAGCAGACAGTTCCTGACATTTTCTGAATAAGCATTTTTCAATTTTCACCAACTGAAGTAACACAGCTTTGTGCCTACAGAAAGATATTCAATTCCAATCAATGGTAGAAGGTAAACCTTGCCAAACAAAGTTAAATGAATCTGAACTTTTGAGTTCCATGCACAGCTGTTGCATGTAACAACCAATAATATCCATCATTTTGAATGCTTAGATAACTAATGTTTGTTTGGACGCACGTCTCAAACGTACAAAATCACGTCCACCATGTGAAAAATGGACAAGTTTTTTATTGATAGCTAAGATGTGTAACATAACATGCCAGTAAACAACCAAGTTAAATGAATCTGAATTTTTGGGTTCGATTCAGTGGTTGCAACTAACAACTAATAATAATGTTCATATCATAAGGCCTAACATACCCCAAATCAGTCCTCACCAGTGAAAGAATTCAAAAACGTGCTTGTCATCAAAATGATAGCCAATATCATCATTATACATACCTCTTCTATAATCTACTGAATCTCAGTATTGAAAGTGATAAACGGAAGAAACAACAAAGAGAGAATCGAACTTATGACTCAAATTGTTATATGACGATGGCAAGAAGTTTCCAACAATGTATAGAAATAATGGGTTTAGAATAGTGAACCACTGAAACAAGAAGGTATTATGAAATCTGTTTTTCCCATAATCATTGGATTTATAACTTCGCCACAGGATTGAATCTTCTGTACATGTTTTAGGATTCTTGTCAATGCTTATTTTCGGCCAAAATGGTTTCCAGTAATGATCCACAAGCATCTTCTAGCAAATCCAACACCTGCCAGTGCCAACATAAAGATAATAAGCAAAGCATCAACCAAGAGTAAAGAATTCTTCTGTATCATCAACAGTTTGAGACCAGATCATCATCAAGCAATATCTATATAATGCTTGGTAATTAAGTTTATTGAATCAAGTTGTATCATCATTCAAAACCATAGTAGCGCTAGGAAGTTACACTTCATTCAAACCTACAAATCGAACCAAGTAAAAACCAATAAACACCATAAAGAGCATAACCTTCTCAAACCCTTGCGGTCCACCATAATAGGGATCCGGGACTTCACTTTCATCATGCTTCTTACAATATGAGCACATCAACTTAACCTGTATCATCACAATCCCAGTCAAACCAAAAAGTATACAAAACAAAAGCCCCAAAGAAGAGCAAGACCTTGCACTCACCTTTTTATGTGCATCATATGGTAAGGAATGTTTTCCTTTCCATTTATTAAAGGCCTCCAATATGTCCTCTAAAGCAAACAAGAAAATGTCCATCATCAAACATCACAACGCAAGTAACCAAACATCCCATCATCTCAGAATCTACCTCTGTTCTGCTTGTCCATGGCAAGAATGAGGTCAAAGTCAATGAAATCAGAGGGCTTGATTGGCCTTGAAATAGAAGTTATCTGAATCCCACGCCTCTTTGAGGCTGCCCTCATTCTCGGGTCCGCTTCATTTCCCTTCAAAAACCACCACCATCCCAAAAAAAAAAACAACTTTTAAAACAGTCGAAAGAGTTTAACTTCCATGTACTATGAAAATATTTACACTGCAGATGATTGGTATTAGTTTTTAAACTGTTATTGTAATAATCAACCAACATATATTTCATGATAACTTTTGATTGAGGATATATTGTAAATTAATGAACCTACAAAATCCTTGATATTATATCTGATTCAATCCAAGCATTATAGACATCCTTTCATTTCCAACCCAAAAGCATTTTCAATTTCGTCGTGAATTTTATAGAAAAATATTTCACGATTTGTTGTCATTCTTTATCAAATACAGACTTAGCATCAACGAAATTTCTGTCCTTTCTACAGAATTATGCGTAGACTACTTATCTAAAAGTCCTCAAATAAATTATACATATGAAATCCAATCACAAACTGACATATGACATATATGATAATATCAATCTTAAGAATTATTGCAGTGAGAATTTTGATTTGTGGACCATATAGGAAAAATCCCAAGTTCCACATTGACTGTGGCAGCAACTCTCACCTTACTAGTTGGTTTAGTGGGGTTGAATCGGGCTAAATCCAAATGCTAAAATGATATCAAAACATACACCAGATCAGTTGTTGGGTCATCTACCATATTATCTACTCTAAACACTGTTGGTCACATTGACCAGAAATAAGGCCAAAGAAAATTTGTAAGTGTGAAACAACACTCATCTCACCAACAAATTTGATGGGATTGAATTAAACTTTACTCATATTCTAAGATACCATGTAAAACCACTGCTCATCCCTTTTAATCTAAAGAGAAACCCATCATATTTTTTTCTTCTAAAAAATGATCTTTTGGATGAAAACACATCAAGGGTGTTTGTTATAAGCACAACACCAACCCACCTCGTGGTAATTGATGGTGCCTGCAGAATCGATTTTGAACAGCGAATTGAGGCTCCTTTTGTTGACTAAGTCAGTGAAGACTCCTTCAGCAGCGGGGCTTCTGCAGATGTTGCCGAGGCACACGAAGATAACGGAAAATGGCTTTGTTTCGCTATCCGCGACGGAGGCGGAGGAGGCCATGGACGCACGAATTGGAGAAAAGAAACGGTTTTTGCAGGAAATTGCAAAAGGGGTCGTTGGGTTTCTCAGAGTGATGTTTCGAGTTTGAGAAGAAGGAACAAGAAAGACGAGGTTTGGTGAAAGAAGGAGTTGGGAGCAGTGGCAAAACCGTAAATTAAAAACGTTCATTATTCCTTCAAATGACAGTGTCCTCAAATTTTTGTTTCTCCTATGACGTTGTTGGAGGAGGTTGCATCCAATGACTGTCCATAAATTTTGGTCCGAGAGAAGCCTCCAATGAAAATTATCTTCTCTTTTTTTCATTAATGTATTTCATAGTGTTATTTTTTATTATTATTTTTATTTTATTAATTTTTTTAGATATGTTTAATCAATACATGCTTAATAGTATGGACAAGTATTTTTATATAGTTTATAATTAACATAAATAGATGTTAATACCAGTGACTAATATTTCTAGGGTGTTAAATATACAAAATATAATAAAATATAAACAATTTATATATATGTTAAAAAAAATCAACCTAAAAAAATCACTGAATAAAGTTATATATAGTATTCTAAATAAGCAACTATTTTTTTTTCCATTCCTCTATTAATTATCCCTTAATAAGTTAATATTTAATAATTAATTTGTTTTTCCTTATAATGTATTGTCCTTGCTTTACTTTCCTTACCAAAATCAAATTCTTATAAGAAATTTCCAATTACCTTAAATATATTAAACTATGCATGATTTGTTATAAATATTTTGAAAATATTTATATAAGTGTTTCTAGTGGAATTTCGATCGATTTCGATTCTAAGGGTGTTTTGGTCCTAATCAAAATTCTACCACGTAAGTTCTTTTTACTTAGAGCTAGCAATTTGATTTTCAATCGAAAACGCGTATGAGAATTGAAAACTACAGGATATCGAAAATGTGGTTTTTGGTATTTTATGTCTAAAATGCTTGACTCAAACAAAACAAGAAAGTATCGAATCGAGCAAAGAGAATATTAAATTGCAAGAAAGTGCGAAAACCCCGAATTTGCAAGAAATTAAGTTTGCGAGATAAATAAAGGACAGGAAATCGAAATGTGCGGAAAATGTAAATTGCTAAAACCCATTAACATTGCACAGAAAGTAAATAACAGGAAATCGAAATGTGCGGAAAATGTAAATTGCTAAAACCCATTAAAATTGCACAGAAAGTAAATAACAGGAAATCGAAATGTGCGGAAAATGTAAATTGCTAAAACCCATTAAAATTGCACAGAAAGTAAATAACAGGAAATCGAAATGTGCGGAAAATGTAAATTGCTAAAACCCATTAAAATTGCACAGTAAAGTAAATAACAGGAAATCGAAATGACATTGAATGTAATCTACAAGAATATGAAATTGCTGAATTGAAATGGCTCGAAAGTAAATTACCAAGGAAAATATAGAAAGCGATAAATGTACTCAGTGAGCAAGGAAATCCAGATTGCCGAAACTTCATGGTGTTCGTCGTTTCTCCAGTAGACTTTTCACTACCGATTCTCGTTCTCTCCAATTTCCCTCCGTTCCTTCCTTCTTTGCTCTATTTATAGGGCATCTTTCAAGCCTTCCAAGAACAGTTAACACGACCGTTACCACGTTCTACGTGCGTATGGCGCTTTTTCTTCTATTGTTTCCCCACGTTCCCATGATTTTTGGCTCTTCCATAACTTAGAAACTGCTTTCCATGCGTGCGTTTTGACTATTTTCCTTCAAGGTTTAACCGAGGTTATGATATCTACGAAAACGAGCCTTCCCTTTGATTTAATCGAGAACTTTGCATCCTTGGTATCGATTTATTTTAACTTTAACTCCATGTTAAGCTTTCGACTATTACACCTTCTCTTCCGATTTTACCTTTCGATTTTATGTGTCACGTTCTTTATAATCGGACATCGGGAAAGTTCCCTTTCGATTCATTTCTCGATCGAGCTTCTCGATTCCACACTAACAAAATGCCCCCTTGGAAGAATATGAATAGTTTATTTATATTCTTTCAACATTTCCCGCCTAAGTGTTCGGAGGCCCATAGAACTTTAGGGTTTAGGGTTTCTGGGGTTCTAGGGTTAAAAGGGTTTTAGGTTTCCCTTTCCGTTTTACGTCGCTATCATATCAGTCTGTTGCTTTTACAGTACATTATATTCATTACTTTTCGTATCTGTCGTTCCAGCCTCCCTAGGAGATTTTCTCTTTTAACCTTTCTCTTGGTCTTTGTTCTGGTTTTTATGCGAACTTTTACCCTAAGTCTCGTACTTTCATCGTCTTCCTTGAGCTCTTGCTTTCATCTCTATACCTTCATCTTTTCCGTTGCTTTTCTTCATCCTACTCACTACCTGAAATGGCCACTTCCTCCAAGTCTTCTGACTTTTCCGTTCCACCTCTTTCCTCGATGCCTTCTAACCTCGCTGGAAATTAACAACCGAAGTTCGCTCCAGTCCCTTTGATGGAGGAGGCTTCCCGAAAAATTGCTGAAACGCAGGTACTAATCCCTTACACTCGTTGATGGGGTTAATTTTGCTTTTGGGGGTCCACTCCAGTCCTATCGATGACATTTTTACTCCTCTTAACCTCTCGACTAGTCCGGCTTTGGTTCATCAACCCGAAGTTAGGGTTGATTTTCGAATCTTACTTCTAAAGTGTATAGAACGGGCCCTCCTTCCAAAAAGCCTCTCGTATATTCGATGGTTTGATAGGGTCAAGGCTAAGTTTGGGGATCACTGGAGGAGTACTGGTATTTTCGATTTTTGCACTCGTCCCGATGTGACCTGTCTCATTTGGACATGGCGATGTTCTTATCTCGCAAGTGCATTTATGGAATCAAGACTTACATGTTTTGGAGTTGCCTTGTGGCCCTGTGTCGCCCACCCTTTTCGAGATAGCTGCTATTACTGGGTTGAAACCCATAGGGGAGAGGTATTTTCCGGGTGCATATCCCTCAGATAATTCATTGAGGTCGAAAATTGATTGGGAGTCGAAGGCCTATGGGCATTTTCTCGAGAAACACTTTGCTGATGACCCCTCGATAGCAGTTACTGACGAAGAACACGTAGCATTTTTGGTGTATTGGTTATGTACTCATGTTTTTTGCCCCCGTTCAATCCAAATTTCCCCCCATTTGTTCAATCTTGCATATCTCCTTCACCTAGGCCACCCTAGACTTTGTTTAGCCAAAACTTTATTAGCACATGTATATACTGCTTTCGACGAAGCTGTCGATATTTTGAGTACCCCTAAGGCATCGGGGAATTTTTCTGGCCCTGTTTGGTTTATTCAATTATGGTTAATTTCGATATTTGAAAGTATCCTTCCTCGTATTTCTACTGTTCCCCCAAGTATAAATATAGAAGGGGCCCGATTATCCTCCCGCCATCCTCGCCAAAAGACTGATGAGGCTACCTATTGTAAATACCTCCACTTTTTGTTGACTAGATCCTCCTTTGATTCGACCTTGGCCCCGTTTACCGTAAATCTTGGACAAATAAATGGTCAACTTAGGGGACTAGTTTGGTTTAAGTCAAAATTCCCAGCTTCGTCTCCCGGGTTACAATTGGAGCTGGTCGACATATGGAGTAGTTATTTGACCCATGATATATTATTATCGGGTTTTCAGCCTAAGGATTTCAAGTTTATTACTTATTACCCGCAGTTTCTTTCGAGGCAGTTTGGTCTAAGCCAATCCCTACCTTTCTTCCCCCTCAATACATCCCCCAAGTCCAAATTAACTCGAATCTTCACTTAATCGGGAGCTTCTCAAGCTTTTACCTAAAATCCCGATGCACTTTTACCCCTATGCTTTCGATTCGAATTATTTATCTACCTGTGGGTTTTTCTCAATGGTGGGCCGGTTGGTTCTCGAGTAGTCATGCTACTTTTGATGAAGTTCGCCGAAGCCGACTACTCAACCTTCTCTTGTGTTGCAGGACAAGTCAAAATCGAAGAAAGGTACACACTTCCACTGTCTTCAAATATCTCGATTCGAGAACTTTTATCAAATATGTTACACCCCACTGAAATTAGAATCGACCTATTATGATGCTTGTTATCTCCTTATCCAATAAAACGGACATTAATCGATCGAACCACAAAATAATCAATCCTTTAGGTAGAACTCCTTTTGAAATGTATTGTCCAAATCGCCTTCCAACTTTTCCCACAGCTCCTTTTGGACTTGCCAAACCATTAACTCATCCAAAATGGGTTCGAGAATTGAGAACCGTTAGGGAAACACGTCGCCCAAAACCCATAAACAAAAATATTTACGTCTCAAAATTATCTTATTTCCCTTACCTTAACCTTCCCGAGGCTCTTTTGCCTCCCTGGCTTGTACATATCGACCGAGTTAAGATCTTGACTCCATCACCTTTTGGTGAGAGTTTACTACTTTCTTATACTTTTTGATTCTCGTATATTATAAGTTAATCCATCTTCTTTTATTGGCGGTTTCGAAATCTACTAAGGTCTCCGCTACGAGAAAGGTCAAGAGAAGGGACAAGAGGACCGGGGATCCTCGGTGAATCGGACCCATCGACCTTGATCAGAAAACGCAGACGTTCGGCCACCATTCCTACTTCTTCGAAAAAATCGAAGGTTCATTTTGACTTTTGTCTTGTCCTATTTATTTCTCGGTTTGATCGATCCTTATTCTTATACTTATCTTTTTTCGATCTTCCATTTTCAGAAACAAAAATCGAAGAGTCCTCGATCTGTTCGACCAATTGCTCTTGATCCACTATCGACGGACTCTAATACCATCCCCACGACAACACCTGCTACCCGTTCCAGTCATGTAAGTTTCCTTCTCTATACAAATTCTATGTTCTTAAGTCTCGATAAAACTTGTAACAAGGTTTCAAAATTTAATTTTCAGGATCTTCCATCGGAGACTGTATCGACGAATGTCGAATCCCAACTATTAACACCCCTCACTGAGGTATCTTACATATCATTGTATGATTGCTTTTACTTTTTGTGCATTTCCT